AGCTAGTTGCTGTCCTAATTTCGGATCTTTTTAATCAATTCTTGAAAATGTTAAAAAAGAGAGAGAGAGAGAAAGGGGGCTCAGCGAGGATGTTTGCCCCGAGGTTCGTGCTGGCTCTCGATGTTTCTGATCTAGACCATATCGCTGTCATAAAGAAAACTACTTTAATGCCAAGGAGGAACTTTCAAACATCATCAGTTTTCTGATTTAGGCAATTGTTGCCCATTTTCCTTTCATTTACTTCAAAGTAAATGCTGTTTCACAGAACTGTGGCAAGAGAGCCAATGTACACAGCATTGTCATTTGAAAGAGGAATAAGTATAAGTGAGAAGTTGAGCCTCTCCACAGTCATTACTTAGTGGCACAAAGGCTGATTAATGACCATATTGTATCTTTTTTTACTGTACAAAGGATAAAAGATATTTAGTAGTAAGAAACATTGATTTTTCTTTATATTTTAAGGCCAAGTAGATAATATATGTGTTAAAATGCCAAAATAATATTTATTAATTAACATTTATTCACCATAAAAACTCTTTAAACACAGACTTTACGTTATTAATAGTAGGCGTATTTGTAGTCTAATTTAATACGTAAACATAACATAATGCTTAGCTGAGCCACTTCTTGGTAAATTTTATTTTGCTTTTGCTACAACTCATTGTCATAAAACTTCTGAATTAAACTATTTTACTGTTATATCACCAAAATTATCAAAAAAATATAGAATAAAAAACAAACCTTTCTAACAAATCAGCATGAATATTGAGCATTCAACACAAACACCATAGTTGGCCTAAGAAAAATTAGGTGATAGTTTTGTTGCTAAGCGATGATGTATATTGTTGAGCATTACCAGAAAAGGGGCGTAAAAGCATTCTCGATAGAGTGACAAAGTGAATAAGCCATTTATAGTTAGTGATCTTTAATCAGCCAATATTTAACAATTTATTTATTTTCTTGGGTCAAATACTTAAATGTATATGTATCTATACATGTGAATTTTTGCTTGTAATCCAATAAAATTCTAGTATTACTGACATCTATTTGTTGTGGTAAATAAACTAATGTTCCTATTTCAAAAAAAAAGGAATAACATAATTGAAAATTCATTGTACCACAAAAAGTGCACTTGTACTAGTTTATTGTAGAGCTGCATTTGCTATGTATTTATAGAATTTGTTTCTAATCAACTTTAGGACACAGATTCTCCTTCAAGACTAAACTGTTACAACAAGATAAGGAGACAGCAGGTAACCCCACCTTACATAAAACAGAGCTTTCACAGGTTTCAAGTAAACAAGAACTTGTCAAAAACTGTCAGGAGAAAACCCTCAATATTGATGAACTTGTCTTATCGGATACTAACAGTGAACGTAAATGTGCTGTTGAGGAAACTTTATGACGAAGCTTTTATATAGTTTCTTGTCAGTTTTAATGAAAATATCTTATTTGTCAAGTTAATACATAAATGAACATGAATTTTGAAAATATACAGTTGCATTAAGTGACTGGCAAAATCTAAATGAAACTTTCCACTTTGCTAACTGTTTTTATTTTCAGTTCTGCAGAATTATTTTTAGTTATATAATCTGGTTTATGCACTAATAAATTATGTTTTTATTGACAAATTTGACCATGTATAGTTCCTTTGAGGCCTTCAGTTTATCACCGATTTTATACAAAAATGGCTTAAGTATAAAGTTGAATGTTTTGTGATTTCTCTCAAATAGTGAAATGATTGCTTTCTGTATTCATCTTTTATTCTAGTTTTAGTAAAAATTCACCAAGACTTATATTTTAGCTTATGTATTTTGTAAAATAAGTGATGCTTCCCTTTTTTTTCGGTCAAAGAACTGTAAGGCATAATTGTTCATAATAAGAAAAGATTCTACTATACTCATTTGTAAGTCACACAGATATAAATTCCATTTATTAATTGCACTTGGTCATTGCTAAGCTCACTTTTTGACTGATTCAAAGTGTGATCAGGGTACATATGTTAGATCACAGCTGCTGTTAAAAGGTGAAGTTAACCTCAAATGACTACTATGGTCATTTGTAAGTCACACAGATATAAATTCATTTATTAATTGCACTTGGTCATTGCTAAGCTCACAGGAAAACTGATGCGTTACTTTTTTGACTCTTTGATTCAAAGTTTGATCAGGGTACATATGTTAGATCACAGCTGCTGTTAAAAGGTGAAGTTAACCTCAAATATTTTGGTATTCAAGGTCACCTTGATTCATAGTTTACGTACCACTACTTAGTTGTATGAAAAAGGCCAAAAGTGTGGCTTTGCACCAAGAGCAAACAATTTTTAAATTACTTTCTACCAAAAGAAATCATGGGCTTTGGTCCAGCATAAAATAACATGATAATCCAATGGTTAGAGCCACCATTAATTCATTGCATTAAAACATGTTACAGATAAATAAAGTTCTGAGATATAATAGCATAGTCACTTTATGTTTCAAATATAAGATGACCTAAGATTAATGTAAAAGTCATTTATCACTACTTCCTTGTCCACTTGGTCAAGTGACATTACAAAATTAATGACATTTTAAACTTCTGATATTTCTTGAAAGTTTTGTATGTATGTACAGCCAAATATTTTCTAACAGGTGACTGCCATTTCTAAGTTTTAAAAGCATTTACTGTTCTCATATATTTTGGGTTTTGCCATTAAAGATAATTCAGTTGCTATTAAGACACCAATCACACCAAATTTCTTTAACATTTTATTCCTTTCACAGCTATTGAAGATTGAGAATGAAAACTTTTAAGTATATGCTACATAACATCCATGAAATATTCCTTCAAATCAAATCTTCACTTTGCATAAACATCTATGCACAGATTATTGCTTTAAATGTTTATTCAAGAAGCAGTTGTTTAAAATGTGTAAAAAAAAATTACCATTTTATAATTCTAATTCTTATTATGCATTATAATATTTCAACTAGTCCAACAGACTACTGGTAGAATGACCCAGTTGAGAACACAACTAAATATTTTCAGTTTAACTGATAATGGAGATTGCTATAAAAAATTTCAATGCACAAATTTACAGCCTAAATGTAAAAACATTATTCTAAAACACTTTGGAAACAGACTGTTTGAAAGATTGATGTATATAATTTAATGCTAATATCGGAAGTACAATTTCTAAATGTGAGAGCTCATCATTAATAGAAACACAAAAACTATCAGCACCTACACCATTTCAATCTTTAGACTGTTTTTTTTCTCAACATTACTTACAGAGTATGTGAAAAAATTGTCTACATTAACTAGAATGCTGTATGTAATGTGACCAACCCTTCATCAATCATATGACTATCTTAGTATTCTTAATTAGTAGTCTTTAAGTACAGTTTCAACCTTACCTGGTTTCATTGTCATCATGAAGTGTCTTAACTCATCACCTTTGAAAAGTGATGAAAAACAATCTTGAAAATCCAGACATTGTTTACCGAGAATCTTCAATACCAAGGTAACTGCTGGCATTAATTGCATGATAAGTTGACATATGTGAGTTAATAAAGTACACTGTAACATTGTATTTACACTTATGTTCATAGTTTGTACTAAGTAGCAGCTCCTCAATTCATGAGAGTACTCCAAGTTTGTTTTATTGCTTTTTTTTTTTTAATCGTAAAAAAACAAACGCTCAGTTCCATGCCTTGTATTGTTTAATAAAAAACTTCATTCTGTTATGTACTCAAGCACTTAAGCTTCACTTTTCTGTATTCTGCAAAGAATCGGTTAATACAAGTTTCTTTCAGTAATGTTCTAATTAATGTTATCAGTTATTCCACCTGCCAGTTCACCAATTCAGAATTGTTTGGTTTGTATTATGATGTTGTATAGAGTAATTCCAATGACCAAAAATGGTTATCTTTCAGTTTTGTCATATCAAGACAAAGGAAATTTGCACATTTATAATAATTATACTGTATGAATGATCTAACTTTTGGAAACTGGGGATGTTATGGATTGATTTCCTTTATATTGTATTAAACAAACTTCACCAAAATGCAGCTGAATATTAACTCCAATCAGTTTGGATGGAAAGTGGTATTTATTTGTTAATGATATGATAGATTATGAACAAAGATAATAATTGTGCTGTAAACATAGGAAGTAGACAAGTGGCATTAAATTTTACAACATGAATAATCTCTGAATTAAACTTATAAAAGCATTCAGATTAATATCACGAGCAAAAAAAAATATTGAAGTGTTCAATACTAAACTAAAAAATAAAATAAACATATTTATTTACAGAATTTGAAAGTTATAAGTCAGAACTAAAGGAGATCAAACTTAGTTTGATACACTGTTTTTTTCTTTTTTCTGTTACCCACTTCAACTAGTGTATGCTGTTAAATTAACCCATAAAATTTTAAATGTTAAATTAACATAATTAACTTTAGTAATTCCTAAGTTATTCCATCAATGATTAATTTTGCATTAAAAAAAATGTGGGAGGGGGACTTTCACTGTTACAACAATCAACATAATTCAAATTTATGGGAAAGCTAAAAAAATTCCCTAGATTCCTAATATCATGTAAATAGCCCTAAATAAAATAACTTTACAGAAAAATAAAGTTCTTTGCAAACAATATAAAAATCATAATATTACAAACAGGGGGCTTCTATTTTTTTATTGATTAATTTTAGCTACTTTTATGTAGATAGCCTAAGATAGTTTTCTTTCGAGCTTTCACTTTTTGTATACAGTACATGATTATTTTTGGGCCTTTTCCTAAAAATTCTTCTTTACACAGGGTCTATTTTAATTTGTATTAGATTACTTATTACATGTTTAAGAATTACTTCCTTCCTAGTTTAACCTTTGCTCTTCCTCAGTAGATGGTGTACATTTTAAAATATTTAGAACAAGTCAAGAAGGAGAGACATTGCATAACTGCGCTGGGAAAGAGGTGAAGTTAACATGGATTGAATAACAATTTCTAGTGTTTAATTAATATACACCCATTTCCTTTTTTTTTTATAGGGAGTGTTTTATTGGTGTTGACCAGTTAAAACCAAAAATCAGTAGTCTTAATTACAATATTTCTCTTACTTTAACATGTACTGCACGATGTTGCACAGTTTATTATATAATTTCACAAAATTCAGACATGTTACTATAATAATACACTGGAAATTACATATATTTTAAGAATATCTCAATAGTTATCAATGACATTTTAATTATAAAGAGATTTTTTTTTTCCCCTTAATGAGTAAAGTACTCATTTTTAAAATCACAAACTCATACTTGATTAATGAAAAGGTACATGTTATTCATCCTAATACCTATACATTTGATTTATTTCAAGCGAAGATATCCCGAAGGACCTACATTTTGTCTGCAATTGACCACAAACAAACTTGTATAATGAATTATTTTGAATCCTTCTCTTCAATGGTAGGTATAGGTTAAGAAACAGTTTAACATTACTGTACAGAGTGTTTGGCAATTATATTAACTAATTTGTTAACATGAATGTGAGAAGCATCAGAGCCCCCATTGTCCACAATCCGTGTTCACCGTTGCATGAATTGCACAACTAGTGACATTAAAGTGTCTCAGTAGTAGAGGTTTAAGCCTAATGTCTGAAGCACAAGCGAACAATTTTGTTGACAATTCTCACATATATATTATACACCTCATGCATGGAAACTTGTATTTGTGAATTTTCACAGGTCTGTATGAAAGTACTTCTGGGTATCATGCAATTTCACACATATGTATCAACCACATTTCACCTTTGTATCTTATACTTTTACAGATCTGTAATAACTATATTTCTACTGGATATCATGTAGTTTAACTGATATAAATTAAACACCTGTCTTCTGCATATCATGTAGTTCCACACATTTTGGCTAGAAATCATTTTCTTATATGATTTTGTGTTAAATACATTTCTCCTGGATATAATGCAATTTTTCAGATATCTATCAACCATATTTCTATTGTTTCAGAAATCAGTAACATGCAGATGAAAAAGTGTACATTAGAAAACGTTTTCATCCTTTAGGAAATGTTAAAACACAAGATATGATACAAATTGTAAGTTTTTATTACAATCAAAGTTTGGCTAAAGTTTTTTACAAATTAAGTTAGTTGGATAACACTATTCCCTTGTGTACAAAACAAAATACATTTATCTACGTTCATCATAAAAGAAAAACACATAACAGTTGTGTAGGATAAAACTGAATAACTTTTGTACTCTTGAAAAGAAACTGTCATTTGAAAATGTACATTAATATACATATCAAAATGTTCCAAGTGTAGCTTCTTTTCTTTTGATTTTACCAAAAGTACAAGATAAAATAACTTTATGGTCTGTAAGCATGATAGAAATCAATTTCAAATTTCCTTTTTTTTTCACCAAGAAACTTAGCATTATTGCTACACATGCACCCATTTTTTATGCATGCAAATATATATATATATACAGTTCTAGCTGCATTTAACTAAGTTTATATTATATAAAGAACTATTACAATCTTATTCTATTACTTTCTTCTCTACTTTAAGACTAATATTGAACAAAGACAAAAGATTACTTATTATAAATACACATTACTAGGTATTAGTAACTGTATTTTATTTTCACAAAATGATGATAATAAAAAGACTACTACCATGAGAAGCAGAGATCATGAATATTTATTGCTTCTACAGTTTATGAAAACACTGCACATTTCTGAGTGTGTAATATAATTATTTCATTCAAAAAATGAAATTGAACTAGACAATTCTCTAACATATTTTCTGTTTACTTCTGTAATGAAATATAAGATAAAAGTTTAAATTTTTTGGGTGGATGGGAGGGGTATAACACAAATGCACTTTACTAACTTTTTTTTTTTTTTACATTTTCATTAGTTGGACCTGACAATATCGAGATATTACAATAGTAAGAAATAACGGTAAACATTCAAAAGGTTTAAAAATTTATTATAATTTAGAGTTAAAGTAATACCACTACTTGTACCTGTGACTGAATACTCCTAACCTAAATACTTTACATTTAACAAGTGGCTGTCAAATTAGTGAAGTATCTAGAAGCCAGTTTTCATTATTTTGTGCCAAATGACAAATAAAACAAAACATGTCAACATAAACCCACAAAAAAAACAACTAAATAATATGGTCTAACTAATGAGAAGTATGTGAAATGCAACAAATTTGACATCAGTAGATTTTCCCTTTATAATGCCATGAAAAATTTGGGATTTTTAGCTCAGTGTTTTATATGCAATAGATTTGTTATCCAAAAATCATACTGTATACAATATAGTTTCACTTTTAAATTTTATTTTACAAATCATTTAAAAGATGTAAGAACTTCACTGATATGCAGCTTTAAACAATATATACATATAATAAAAAGTTTTTTCTAAAGAAAATTAAGTCTTAATTGTTTTCATGTACTTCATGAGTACTTTAATAGCTTCCACTTAATCGTAACTATATCTATTTGTTCAGTGAACAATGAGTTAACATTAGTCACTTAAATTTCTGGAAATCCTTGAATTCAGTTTGTGTTTGAATATAATTTATATTAACTTCTTTAAATAATAGTTTCAAACCTAAATTTAGAGACAGCTTGAAAACCACGTATCTGAATGAGATATAAACACACACCCGAGTGTATTTGATACTATGTTGAAAGATTTTTGAGTATGTAACAGGCCTCCCAATGAAATCTTTAAGGTAACATATACCATTTAAATGGCATTATCTAGGTTTTGTCCTTTTTATCAGTATGAAAATATATTAACATAACATAATATTTTGGGACCTATTGGTCCATCTTGGCTGTCAAAACAAAATTAAAATGATTAAAAAATAAACTAAAACAATTTTAAACCCAGTCCTTTTCATTCATATACTTATCAAGTTTTTTTTAAACTCACTTAAATTTACTGCCTCTACAACATCTGAAGGCAACCCATTCCAAAGGCCAACTACCCTGTTAAAAAAATGAAACTGTCTTAGCTGAAGATGACTCCTACCTTGCTAAAATTTGTATTCCCTAGTCCTACTATTCTCATTGTTAAATATAAAAAAAGATGATACATCAACACTATCAATTCTATTTATGATCTTAAACACCTCAATCAGATCTCCCCTAACTTTTTTTTTTCAAGAGAAAATTTGAGAGATTTCAGTCTATAGTCATATGAGAACCCCTCCATCTCAAGCACCATTCTAGTAACCCTTCTCTGAACCCATTCCAACAATTCAGTGTCCTTCCTAAGGTAAG